TTGAAACTTTGTATCATGTTATTCAATTTATTTTCCATTCCGACATAACTGTGTCCATTTCCTGGTTTTTCAGAATTTCAGGAATTATTTCACACGAGTTCAAATCTGAATTCAATCTGGTTCGAATTAGACAAATAAAAGAAGAATTTACCTATTTGACTTTTATAAAATGGCTATAATTCTCCCAAACGATTTTGGTTTCGGTTCAATCGTCAAGCGTTATAGGATCTGGCAGCAAAAGATATTTACTTGCAAGGAAGACGAGTGTGTAGTTAAGTTCCACCTGAGCAAACGATGACAATTATTTTCCATTTATGCTACAGGATCATCGTTTGATCTTTTTTTCTATGCAATTGTGTTTGCACACAATCACTGTTGTATTTGATAACGAATTTGGGCCAGTGGTGAGAAAGGCAGACATCATCTTGTGTATACGGTTTGATGAGCTTATTGCAAAGTGAGAAGAACTATGTATGAGCTTATTAAAAACAGGATGGAGTATTTTTAAAAGTGTCCCACATTTGGAAGAGTGATTGGCAATGAATTTTAGTAATATGGGAACTTATGAAGTAAAAATGATTTTATGATATATAATTTTTTTTCAAGTGATAATTATTTCTATAGTAATTATAAATGAATAAGGTGCGTAAGAAATAAAAGGACTACTCTGAATAACTTTTAATCTAATGATCGCATTTTCACGTTCTAGGATTCAATCTTAATGGTTTGATGGGGTGACTTCGAATATGCTAAATATTTCCTACGGACAATATTTTAGGTAATGAAATCAGACACAGAATTTTACTTTCTCTGAATTAACATACCTCTTTTTCGACGGGCTTGGATTTATAACCCCAAAAATATAGGGGATAGCCACAATGTAGCAAATATGATCCCAATATAGTTTGGTCAGGAGTGCTGTTCAAAGTTTGGACCCCTTGATGCTAGTTTTTGTTTTTGCCCATTTCGCCATATCTCAACAATTTTTTGAGCAAACTGAAAAAATCTGGTACACAATTTATTCAAAGATAATTTAATGTGAAATGCATAGCTTTTAGTAAATATTTTTATTTTATTTAATAATAGTTGAAAAAAATTGAATTGTAAGGTATGCAATTTTTTACATCATCTTAAAGAATGTAATGTTACATGGCAAAATACTAAATTTGAGGGAAATCATTCGAATAGTACTTGAGAAATCGAATCTTAAAAAAGTCGTATTTATAAAATTCGATTTATTATGAACAATTAGATAGATTTCGATCAAATTTTTTGTTTTGCCTTGTAAAATTATATAATGATCTAAAAAATTATGCATCTGATGATTCAAAATTTTTTCGACTGCTATTAAATAAAATAATAAATATTTACTTAAAATAATTTTTTTCAGGGAATCATGCGTTGTACTGAGAGCACATTACTAAAAGTGATTTATTATTTCTAATGTCAATCTTTATTATTTCAAAGCTATTTCAGTAAAAATTTATATTTACTAATATAGTGTGAGCTTCTAACAATTTTCATAATAATTTCTCTGTTCCCCCCCTTTTTTTTCTTTTGTGTTTTAGTTAGAGAAGACTGAAATTGAGAAGGTGAACATTATTTGCAGGTCAAAAGAGATCTCCCCGGAATTTCGTATTTATTTATTATTTTTCATTTTAACGTGAGTGATAAGTGGATTTTTAGGATGTTCTCAAGAATTGCTTGGAAATAATAAGAAAGAATAACTACACCTTCTCCAACTCTTTTTCCTCTTCTAGACTAGATTAGATAAATTAATTAATTATTTAGTTACTAGCACTCATTGGTGACTGTGCGTTTCTTTAAAAATGCCGTTGACCGACATGCAAAAATTTAATTTAATTTAGTTTAATTTAATTTAATTTAATTTAATTTAATTTAATTTAACCCCTTTCCGCCCCAATAGTTAGCATACATAGAATACTGAAGTCTTGAAATGCACGTCTGTGTCTTATCAGTACAAGAAAACGAATAGATTGTGAAGAACAAAGGAGGTCTTCAAATGAAACAGCCACGAGAGGGATCCTGGGTTGCACGGGTGTAAATGTACAGATGTAAAGATGTGCTGTTTACTGAGCTCCATGTTACAACTAAAGAATGTTCCGTAATACAAATTTACAGGTTACATGCCCTATAGTCCAGTCAGGACAATAGAAGTTGGGAACATAATATATGAACATGGTAAAAAGTAGAAACTAACTTTTTATATTTTAAGTAAGGTTGCTGCCCCATGGTCTGTCGGAAGGATCTCAACTATACTTAATGAAATATAAAGTTGGCAAACTTATATTCGTTAAATGAGCATCATGGTTAAACTGAGAACTTTTCTGCCAATCCACGTTTCTTGTTGGTATGGCGTGCTAATCTCTGCAATTTGATTCAAAGCTAATAATCTATGTTTATGTTCATAATATGTTTTTCTATTTTAAGAAAACAGATTCGGTGTTATAGTAGCATTTTTTTAATGAAATTAATTAAAAGACATTAATGCGTTGTAAGTAATAATTTAATTAATAAATCTTGGAGAAATGAAAACATACACTTTCATAAAATTCCTAGGTGGCATTAAAAAAAAATGATGAAAATGCATATTTTAATTCACTTATAAATACCTATTTCCAAAGCAACGTTTTATCAGCAAAAAATTATATTTTTATCTTTTTTTTATCTGGTTTTGTGATCATTATTGATTGGAGTGCAGAACACATGGTCACGTTCACGCGTATTCAAATAGTTTTGAAATCTACAAAACGAGTATGCATGAATTAGCTGTAAAGCACGAATAAACTATAAAGCGTGAATAAACTGATATTGCAATGCGACCAACAGCAAGAAATTGATTATAGAAATCATTTTCTTTTATTTATTTTAATAATAAGGAAAATCAATAGCTACCTCTAAATTACGTGTCCTGGTTTGGAATTGAGTAAGAGCAATTTCATAATTTAAATTACAAATACTAATTTTATATCTTTAAATTTCAATGTTTTTAAATTTCATATTTGCTTTTCGTACAAAATTATGAGTAGATAAAGTGAATAATAAATAAATATGGAAAAAATATTCATACTATAATTCATTCTATAATATCTTCGTTTTTTATTTTTATTTCTTGCGCCTTTTGTCAGGCGCGAATGGAAACTTGGATTCTTTGATGCCAAAAAATGATTGTAAAAAATAATTAACATTTTATTACGAAATATTCTTTATTGAATATCATTGGCGTTGGGAGTCCGATTTCTACAAATTAGATATCAGGACAAATGCCCCACATTGGCGAAATCCTATATATATATATATATA